CCCCAAAACCCCAAAACCCCAAAACCCCAAAACCCCAAAACCCCAAAATATAAGATTTTTAAGGGAAACCTCGAGATTTTGTGCGGAGATAGAGGTTTGAGATCATTGCTTCGTAGTCATGCAGAAGACTAAGACAGCTTGGTGAAAATATGGAGTGTTACAAGCGAGGCTTTCAAACTGGTGAAGAGGCATAGTGTTGCCATGTCTCTTCTTGATAATATGCTTCAACTCTACACTTTGGAGATAAGTTCATGTAAGAATTCGTATGATACAAAATGTTCAACATGCATTCTTCCTTTGTGTTGAGAGAAGTTGTAAGCTTGTATTAGCTAGGCAGCATTTTTGTTAATCCAGCCAGCTTTATGTTGAAAATGGTCATTTCAAGAAGCCTAACTGTAATGGAAATGCGATTTTTAGTTGATGAGCTGAAATTTTAAGCTTTTGTTAAACCCAATCGTTCTTTTATGATATTAAAAGATCTAGTGTGAAATAGATTTGGAAATAGTCAGGAAGCTATTAGAACTCTATCATATTTGCTTCCATACTAAATCAATTAGAACTGTTCACTCAGATTGCTTAGTGTTTTCTCACCCTACTAGAAATTTCCAATAACACCTTTCATTCGTAATTAAAGGAAAATTATCATGTCACTTTAGAGTCTGAGACACTTTTCATCCATTGACTTCTAATTTCCAATAGTTTTTGAGTGCTGATATGAAGAGATCGAAAGAACTTTCTCTGATCTTACCCAATACTCTCTACCACATACTTTAGAGACTTAATGTAAGTATAAATATTTTAGAACATCTTCTTAATAAACTCTTTATTCTGAGAATTTAGACAAGGGAATGCAAATCTTTGATAGAAAATATAAAGAAGACTTAGGACATCTTGAATAACCTAGTTCAGTTCCTTATACCCTTCATATACAAAACGAAGCAGACTGGGGCATTAATACCGAATGTTGCTTTATTTCCTTTAAATCTCAGTCTCTTCCTCTCTCAGCTTTCCCTCTTCAACATAGGGTTTTCTTGACCAGCTCTATGTTGTAGATTCTGAACTTTCAAGAAATCTTGGGAACTCATCATCTCATTAAGGACCTGTGCGTACCTTCTTCCGTCATCCTCCTTTAGTCCAGTGTCAGTGCAGGTGTAGGAGTTAGAATACCAGTAGAAGAACCCTAGTGGGATCAAGACCAAGATGAACAGGAATGATATTCAGAGAGACATTGTTTGATACTCCTCTTGGGCCATGAAAGAAGGAAGCCCGATAGCTACTTTGATAACAACAGTTTCGTTAAGAATGCCATGTTTGGAATAATCCTTTCTGGCATTTTCATCAGTCAAGATGATATAAGCTTCAGCAGCTAGTCGATAGTTTCTTTCAAAATAAGGATCTTTGGGCCGCTTATCAGGAATCAAAGTATTTAGTACTTTTGTACGGAAAGCGTTCTTAATTGCTTTTAAATTTGCATCAAGAGGTACCTCTAAGATCTCATAAGGATCAAATGTTTTCATCATTTCTCCAGCTTGTGCTTGTTGATAGCTAACAGAGAGTAGGAATACAAGTAGGACTAGTATTCCAAACTTGGTCAACTTCACTGTCAGCACTTTAAGCATGGATTTCATTCCTAAATTTGGCTGCATTACTCAACACATTTCTCACTGTTATAATTTCTGGGTTCTAGTAATCTCTGGACAGGTTAATGAAAAGTCTTTGCACAAATAATAACTATAAATACTCACTAAAACTCAGAGAATGGTGCAGGAAAAGAAATAGAAGGCTCAGTCATCATGCTTGAGTCCATAAGCCCCAAAGTCATTGCTAAATATTCAACTGTATCTAAAATTTTGCATAAAATTTCAATTTAGTCTGATATTTATGGGGTTTTGGGGTTTTGGGGTTTTGGGGTTTTGGGG